GGGAAAGAGGGAACGAAAAGAAACACACTGGTTGGCTACAACTTCACTTCACTCTTTCTTTTTTCTTCTCACTATGCCACTCGTGCTAATCGCGTGATGCGTATTTCTCTCATTTTTTTATTTTTAAAACTTATTTTGTTATTATGTAATGTGTTTTTTTTTTTACATAAAGTGACAATTTATATTATAAACGTATATATTATCTTGATTAAAATTATTTATTATTATTTATAGTATAATAGTTAGGAAACGTTACGGTATAATTTGATTTCTCTTTTATATTAAATTAAATTATTATATAAATATAAATTATCGATTTCTTTCTTTACTCGTTCTTATCATATAGTTAAAACTCGTATATTTTGTGTGTTTTTCCTTCACTTGGTTGTACATCTCTCTATTTTGCTCTTACAAAAATTAATTTAAGTTAGAAAAATGAAAAATATATTTAAGACTAGGGGTGTTCAAATTTAATTCCATTCGAAGAAAAGTCGAGATGATTAAAATAAATCAGAAACCGATTAAAACAAAAAAAAAAATAGAACTTTTTTTTTTATAAAATTTTATATGATTCATCAAATTGATTTTCAAATTGTGATCATCAATCAACACGATTCAAACCAATCTCTGATCATTTTAATAAACAAATATTTTTATTTTACCTTTGACTTATAGACTGTGTTTTATGTTTTAGTAAGTTTAATCATTTAATTTTCGTAAGTTTAGTCGCATTGAAGTCTCAAAGTATTCATTAATTCACTAAATAAGTATGAAACTAAGTGTGATGATCAAGTGTTAAAGTGATGGTCATTTTCTATATTTTGTTCCTTCATTCTTATTCATATAAGAAATAAGACATCTAAAAAAATTAATATTTGAAACCGAATTATATCTGGTTTGAAAAATGTCACTTGTCTTATTACTTCTCTATTTTACGCATTTTTGTTAAGTCAAAAGTAATTTTGGATTCTTTGAATTTAGAATTTTAATATTAACAAATAAAATATTTTTATAAGAGAAAATATTTACTTATAAGATGAAGTGTAAGATGTAAATTATTTATAAAATGATGTAAATAAAACAAAACATACAACTTATTTTATATACATTAAATATTTACTATGCATTGAGGGTAATGATAAAAACTTATTGAATGTTTCATTTTTTAACAAATTGAACTAGAAAATTATCTTAGAACTCATAAATTTGTTAAAGAAAATAAGATTATACTTTTCGTCAAGACCAAGGAAAAAGATTCCTAAAATCACGAAGAAAAGTAAATAAAGTCATTGTTGTTGTTGTATTACACTGGCATTACTTCTGCAAGCCTCGTTTAATATGAAAAGTTGATAAGTAGTCTTATTGATAAAATAAAAGGTACATTTGGTGAAATACATTTAATGCAATGCTCACATTAAATGAATCAAACAATTATTTGTTATCATAAGGAAAGACAATGAAGATAAACGAAACAAACTTGTGAGTTGGACTTAGAGTGTTGCAATAGTCATCTTCTCTAAGATACTATATAAGAAGGTTCAAAGTCAAGAAAAAAGGGATACATATACAAATATAAGAGAGAACAAACATATAGATAGATTTGTATAGAAACATACCGTTTATAAATTTAATCTTTCTTGTAAACACTCATTGCTTTGTATTGGTTGTAATGTCTAAGTGAGACAAACACAACACTTATGTAACCTTCATAACCATTGTTATAAGGTTGAGTCTAGAGAGATTTTTCTAAAAAAGAATACTTGTTTTGAGTGTGGAGAGGTTTGATTTTTAAGCCTAGAAAGACTCATTAAAAGAATATTTAGGTAGTTGCTTGAAGAAGCAAGTCCAAAAATACTTAAGGTTGAGCTACAAGTGACTTATTGAAAGAATACTTTTATCTTTATTTAAAAATAGTAGAACTGAATCTGGTTGGATTGAAAATTAGATGTAGTCTTAGTGGTTGAGATGAATCAGTATAAAAATATTCATTATTCCATTTGAATGCTCTTCGTACTTCATCTGACTAGAGTTACTACTTCACTATGAAAAGTGTGTGAGTTTTGATATACATTATTCAATCCTTTTTCTAGTGTTTATCTTTTCTCCACAATCTTATTTTGAATTTAGATTGCATGCTTTCTTTGATTACTCTCATGTAGTAAATGTGTGGAGACATTTTGGATACTAAAATCATATTAGCCCAATTGTGGATAATGTTGATAGTCTTAATGAATGCATTTTTTATATTCTAAAATATCTAAATAAAGACCAAAAATTTTATATCCATTATTTGGTATTTGTGATGTCACCGTAATGAGAAGGTTTGGGAAGATTTAGAAAAGTTAATAAATATGTCACTCAATGCTACCAAAGATTACATATGACACTAGAGTGTTATTGGACAGTTGCTTGTTGCAAGTTGCAAGTGCATTTTGTCAAAATTCGAATTATGCTACTAATTGTCAATTGGATTAAATCTATTTATGGCATGTTGGAGTGAAACATAGACATCTTTATTTTTACAAATTTGAATACCTATGGTATGAGAACTTGTATTAGAAATGAAAAAAGGTGAATTTGTTTTAGCGATGAGGTCTTATCATACAAATAACCTTACTGTTCATGAAGTAGAGGCATCATCCCAATTGGCAGCAACAATCACTTGAGTCATTGGTATGCATTTCTACAATGTCATTTTTGAACTTGACTAAAATCAAGTTTTTGATGACATGCACTCTAACTCCTATATAAATAATGAGTTTGGTTTTATTTTAACTTTAAGTATAAAAAAAACTTAATTTGATTCACAACTCTATGATGAATTTTGTGGTAGATAAGTCTACATATTCTAGTGAAAATATCCATAGATTTTATGCTAGTCTACTTATTTTTAGTCATACACTTGTTTGTATCAATTTTATTATAATTAATGAAATGATATAATCATCTTATAATAAAAAAAAGTAATAAAAATTAAAATATTAATAAAGATGATTTGATAAAACTGAGGTATCCCTTCAGTCCAATCCTCATTTTATTAAATTAAATTGGATAGGATATTTTTTAAGAAAATAATCCAAATCCAATTAAAAAAACAAATTGATTTAGCCTTTAAATTGGATTTTTTTTTTACTCAAACCAATTCAAATAATCCGTGAACATCCTTATATATACATTCTTTATAATTTTGCGAAGAGAAAAGTACATAAAAAAATGCCAGGGAAAGTAAATTTTTTCATTGTTTGAAAGATGATAGAAGTGTGAGAAAAGAGACAAAAACTAATAGAATCGTGAATCAAAGATCTTGTAACAATTTTATAAATATTGTAGAATCCATTCAATATTATTTTTTTTTCTTATTTTTTCTTCCATTTCTTAATTTGATACATTTTTAATCTAAATACTCTAAAGGATCTACCTATTTTTTTTATAGAAAAAAATAAGATATAGTATCATAGTTATTGTTAATTTTTTTTAATTAAAATTAAAATTTTACCTTAATAATATAAGTAGTCTCGACTCATTTTCATTATAGTTTTTAATAGATACTATTAAATTGATTATGTATTATTTCTTTAGATCGACAATAACTAAAGTGTATTATTATGTACTTTAGGTTGTGAGTAAGGATATGTAAAAACATTGTTGTTGCTTCAATTATTGAAATATTTCTTGTTCTCACTAATCCTTCATTTTCTTGTAAAATTCTACAAAGTTTGAAAAAACGCACTCTTACTAAGCCTTAATTATTCAATGCAATCTTTTTCTGTCCCTTTATAAAGATGATTAAGGAAACTACGTCGCTCCAATTCCCAATTATGAGTTGTTTCTTTAACAAAATAATTATTATAGTACCATGTTACTACACCCATAAGCATATAAACCACACAAGCAACAACAAATATAATTATCTCCTTAAACTTTTCTTTTTTATGTTTTCTTGAAGTAATTATGGTATTGACTATGCTTACATCTTTTCTTCTCAATCTACACCATGTGAAACTAATATAAGAGAAAAACTAAAATAATTAAAATGAAACATAAAATAATTTCAAATATATTATATATGTCAAGTTTCTACTACGTATAAATTCATTATACTTCAATATACAACATTAGAAATGATAGTTAATTAATAAATGATATGACTTTTACTAGAAATAGAGAAACAAAACAAAAATATTAATTCTGTTAGCCACCTCAACCTCCACACACAATATTTTGTAAATATTTTAATCCTAATCCATTTCTGTATTAAGAATAAATAAATATATTTTATAGTAGTTATTAAAAAAGAATTGGCTATATATAACAATAGATCTTTATCTTATTCAATCCATTTTTGTATTGGAAATAAATAAGTATATCTTATAATAGCTATTAAAAAAGAACTCGCTAATATAACAATAAATCTTTATCTTATCTAATACATTTTTATATAAGAAATAAATAAGTTTATTTTATAATAGTTATTAAAAAAATCTGATTAATATAACAATAAATATTTATCGTATCCAATATATTTCTATATTAGAAATAA